AAAGTACTGGTAAGAGCTGAAGTGAGATTGCTCAGAAGCTGAAAGGTGAGGTTAGAATAATGATGGCTGCTCACACCTCTGCAGCCCCAGGGGCCCAGCTTATCCACAGAGATGATTTTAGGAGCTGCAGAATATCCCATCTTCTTCTGGGACCTATTTTTACATGAAAATGCCATTTTGTTTTGTTTTGTTTTAAACAGGATCTTATGTACCCTAGGCTGCAGAATGGTAGACAAGCACTGCACCCACTGAGCATACTCCCTGACACAACACTCTTTTTAAAAGCAGGTAGGATGAACTAAGAAACAATCTCTTACAGTACTGGCATGCCAGTTACCTAGAAAATTCATCCATGTGAAATAACACAAACCCTAGAAATTTTAATGAAAAGTGATAATTGCTTAAATATCTGAGAACTTGATCTTATCATTTGCCTCTAAAAAGTGCCAAGTATTTTTATAGGATGGGCTATTTCAAAAACATATAAAGTGAACACATTAGTTCTGTCCTCATTTCAAAAACTGAAAGCGAGGTTTTTGTCCTCTTGTCCTCCCTCTTGTAGGCCACATACATTGCCATCCAGCACAGCTATCCTGAGCAGTTATGTAACTGGAAAAGAAGGGCGACAGTTGGAGTCCACAGAACTCTGCTGGTACCCTTGGGCTACAATACTTAGCCTCTTTTATAAGTTCCCTTCTTATGTTTCCATTTGCCAAAACACACTCTGACAGATGGCCTCCCTCAAGCTTGACCCATTTTCTTCCATAACTGTATATTCTAAGGGAATGCAGGTATGTCTTTAAGTAAATACTGCTCCTGTCTAAATGCAACCTCAAATAAGCATGAGTACAGTACGCAGGTTTCCCCGGGAGTCAGGAAACCAATTAACCTGCGTGCAGGTGGAAGAAGGGAATGGCATTCTGGGGAAAAGGCAGAGGGTCCTCCTACCTCACAAAGGAGACTTTTTAGGAACTTTCAAGTGCTATTTTAAAGCTCCAGTCCCATGAACCACACAGAGCAATTCCTTTAGTTTTTAAGAGGACTTGGGGCCAACACTAAGTTTTGTAAAACACAAGAAGATTTGAATTCTTTTTGGGGATTGCAGGGAGGAAATACCTTCTGACAGCTTCACAGATGCATAGAACTGAGGTGTTTGGTCCCTGAGAGCATCCAATTAAAGAAGAGACCAACCCGGAATGCAGGTTACTCACTGAGCTGCAGTGTAGGTTCAGCCGTGTCCCCACAATTCATGGGGACACGGCTTAAAGCTTAGTTCATCAGAATGTGAATGTTTGGAGGTAAGATCTTACAGGTGGTGACTGGGACCCAGGGTGGTGGTAGCTATCTGCCAGCCAAGGAGAGAGGCTCAGAGGAGTCCAGCCCCTGGCAACGCCTTGATCTAAGATTCAGACTTCAGAATGGGGGGGGCGGTGGCACAAATTTCTCCAGTCCAAGTCACACTGTTAAAGCAGCCTTAGCTAACAAGTACGTTCTTCAGTAAGTATTGATTTCCTGCAAGTAACTGCAGAGTTAAATACACGATTACAAACACAGTCACCCTGACAGCATGATTCAGAGTCCTATGTCCTCAGGGAAGGAGATTTTAGGAAGTTACTGATGATCTGAAACCCTGTAGTTGATCATGTTTATGGTTTAAGAAGCTGCAGAGCATTGGTTCTCAACATGTGGGTTGAGACCCCCACAGGGGTTGCATATCAGATGTTCTGCATATCATATGTTTCCATTACAATTCATAACAGTAGCAAAACTACAATTCATTACAGTTATGAAGGAGCAATGAAATAATTTTATTGTCTGGAGATCACCACGGCATGAGAATTGTGTTAAGGGGTCTCAGCATTGGGATCGTTGAAAACCACTGCAGTAGAGGATATGAATGTAGTCTCCCATAGGATGTATTACAAGTCTTTCCTCTCAGGAGAGAGAAAAGCATGATTAGCAGGAGAAATACCATGTGTGAAGGCTCTAAGTAGTGATCCAGGATCTTAGTTGAGCTTTTGAAGATAGTTTAGAGAGTTCTACATTGCTATGGAATATGGAAACTTGAGGCATTAATACAGGTTCAGGGTTTGAATTGGGAGTCTTGTAGACAGGCATCAATGAAACTTAAGGGTGGTAAGAGATTATTGGAGGGAGGGAGGGAGGGAAGGAGGGAAGGAGGGAGGGAGGGAAAGAGGAAGGGGGGCTCTTACTCATACCCAGGTCCCTCAGACTTGCCTCCATGCTTGTCCCAACAGGTAAATAATGAGATGTTGATGATCCAGCTAGACATAGTGTATCCATTGCCATTTGAAATACTCTTCCCACTCTAAGGCTTAGGGAACATCATAGAAGAGCAGGGAAGAATGTATGAGCCAGGAGATAGGGAGACCGACAGTGAAAACCCATCTTTCAGACATAACAGCCAATACAGCAGGAGCTCACAGCAGCTGTGGTTACTTGCATTGGGCCTGCTCCTCCTCAGAGTTTCCAAACTCAATGCATTTAACTGATCTTGCATCATTGTCCATCATTAAGCTCCATCAGCTCTGGAAGAAGTGTTCAAGCCATTAATCTGGGGTCAAGGAAGGTGCACTTAAGATTGAAAGCATAACGCCAGTAGCAATCAGTCCTACACGGAAGTTGCAGTAAGCTGCCGGCCTTGCTGGGGTTTTTAGGAGTCATGCCTGCACAAATAGGACTTCTGTTTTTCAGACAAAGTCCCATGTATCCTAAGCGGATTTTACACTTGCTATATAGCTGAGGATGACATGGAACTTCTGGTCTTCTGGCCTCTGCCTCCCAAATGCTGACATACATATAGGTATGTGTCACCATTTCTGTTTTTATGTGGTGCTGGAAACAGAACCAAGAAGACTTTGTGCATACTAAGCAAGTAGCTTATTGGCCTAGCTACATTACTAGGCTCCATAAAAACAACCTCTTATCCATAGGCATTAGACGTTAGAAGCATAGTTATTGGATTCTCTTCTTTTCCATTCAGTTCCGTTCCGTTCTGTTCCATTCCATTCCGTTCCCTTCTCCTTCCTTCCTTCCTTCCTTCCTTCCTTCCTTCCTTCCTTCCTTCCTTCCTTCCTTCCTTCCTTCCTTTCTTTTTGGTTCTTTGAGACAGGGTTTCTTTGTTGAATAGCCCTGGCTGTCCTGGAACTCTCTCTGTAGACCAGGCTGGCCTCAAACTCAGAGATTTGCCTATCTCTGCCTCCCCAGTGTTGGGATTAAACGCATGCATTCCCCCCAGCTATTGGCTTCTTAAATGGCAAAATATATAGCCTTTGTATAAAAATTTTCCTTCATCTCTAAGGCATTTTGTTCTTTTCCAGTGTAGTTGTCCCCACAGCATCTTCTTGTAGCAATATGGAGTCATGTGACTAGTAGGTTTTGAACCAATTACTGCCGTTCTGTGAAAAGTTTCCAAGACCATACAGACATACTTGGCTTGATATATACAGCACATTCCAATGAACTTTGGCTTATTTTTAGAAATAGGGAAAAAATCCTACACACAAACAAGCAGACACCAGATTGTTCCATGTACTCATCCAGATGTGAAAGATGGGCATAGATACAGATGGTCTGACAAATGATTGACAGGGAAAGGTGAATCTTTGCAGGAAAATGTATTTAAATTAGGAAAAGATTCTCAAGGTATATGTTCACACTTCACTTGGAGGCTTTAAGTTTTCTAAATGATATGCCAAGGCATTCTGTGGCTTTGCAATATTCTAAATAATTTCCTCATTTTATAGTCTGGGAATGGATGTTTTTAGAAATGTATATGTGGTATGACTTCATTCTCTACATTTGAGTTTGGCATCCTCAGGCAACTTTTCCATTTGGGTACCACAGTGGGCTCCTTGGCTTCACTGATGACATGAAGGTCAGGAATGTAAGATAAATGAATTATAGGGCCCGAGCTACTGGAATCAAGCCTGATATCATTGCACACTGCCCTCAATGCTTGGAATATCTGAAATGTCCACTCCATGACTGGTAAGATGGCTTAGGAGGTAAGGGTGTTTGCCACAAGCCTTAAGACCTGAGTTGGAGAGACGTCTAATGCAGGTCATCCTCTAGCCTCTCCATGCACACCCTGAAAGGACCTCCTCAGTGAGGGGATGGTGTGACAAGAACAAAGACTACACAGAGCTCATTTGCTGCACCATTTCAAACCCTCACAGCAGACTTGAGAACAAGTGCCTCACATGGTAAATTATTCTTCCAGTAAAGTCAATGAAATGCAGGCTGTACAGAGCTATTCCTTCAGCAAGTGCCTCCTGAACCCATAAGCTTGCCAAGAATATTTTTGGGCATCTTATTTTTTATAGTAGCAGATGCATCCTGAAATTATTTAGTCATTTGGAAAGTTTTTACACAGACTACAGTATATTTCTTAAATTAGGAAACAATATGTATTGTTTATTTATTTAACTCATGTTTAAGTACTAAAAGCACACACTGGCATATGCATCCAGCATTCCTCATGACACTCGTACACATCTGTACACATTTCCCCTTCTAATTTTATGTTGTAGAAAATTTCCTAGTTGTAATTTTCCTTTGTGATACATATTTGTTTCTTCTTAGCTAGACTTGGAGCAAAGTTTCCATATTCCCTAAAGGGCTGGAGCATTTTACAGGTTTAAGTGTCATAGCTTTACAGCTTTATTGGGTCCTTCTCCACCATCATAAGTTGTTCTTTTGTTGAGGGACATTTCCTCCTGGGGAAGAAGCTTCATAGACATCTGGTCTTTGTGTTGGAGGCTCACCACATATTTTCCTTTTGTGTACATGTTACTATACCTGGTCTTATCCAAAAGGCAGAGAATGATGTTTGCA